GTTGGTGTTCATGCTTTTCATTACTTCACATGTTTAGTTCATGTCCTTTTCGTGAGGCGCTTGTGGTTCAGACAATCTTTCGGTTGCAGCAAGCCCTGTTCCTATATGTTCCTTTGATTTATTATTATTTCTGCATTTTAACATCTATTTTCCATATTTTTTTCCTGCTTTGCCCTTCAGTACTTTGCTGATTGATTAAAGAAAAAAATTCCCACATAGGTTGGCTAGCCTGTTGCGAGTGCTGCTGGCAGAAATAGTCTAAACCCATCCTGCGGCATTTGGGTGAGTTCTGTAGGGAACTTTTATTATTTTCTATTCTTCGTTTCTTGTTTATCATATCACTGTCTTCCCTTGTCTCACATTATTTGTAAGGGTTGCCCCGCTATTGGTGTTCAACACAAAATAGTGGATATCACACGATAGGAACCTGGTGAATTTCCTATGCAGCTCTTGCTGTTTTTTTTGGGTTCACATGTGTTCTATTAACAAGAACCTGCATGGACTCTTACCTTGCATGATTGTTTCTGAAAGTATGGTTCATAATTATGGAATAGCTGTTACCACCTTAGCTTACTGATTATACCCATAACATTGTAGCACATTCCAATTATTACTTGGTCACCTATATCTCTACATAAGCTATTTGTTAGGCTTAAGCTATCTGCCTAATAGTCCACATACACAAGCCAGTGTGAGGAAATACATATCCTATGCCAGTTTTATGCCTAGCCCATTATCAAGCTTATGCACATGCTCAAAAAGCGCATCGCTGATTGCCTTCGCCCTCTTCTAATCACGAGGTAAGGCTGGTCCTAAGCCTTATCTTGAGGGATAAATTGATTTAATATGGATTTATTAGTTCAGTGAGAAAATGTCATTTATGTGCTATATAATGAGGATTAGTTGAGTGATAGTTGACATTTTCATATATAGTTAACCCATTAGTTCAGTGATAGGTAGCGATGGTGACAATTAGTTCAGTGGAAATGAGAGGTCTGACAGCAGGTTTTAGTGTACCGAACATGAGTCGTTCGAATAATCCTCTACCACTGGCCTGGGGCTCGCTCCTTGGGCCCTTTCACTCCCATTTTGCAGGTGAGCTTTATAGATTTGGCATATACAGGAAATGTGCGGTCCGCGATAGCTGTCCGTTCCTAAAATGAAAATTATAGTATTATTCTATGTTTTGGTTCTGATTCTTAAATACATGTTTGCTAAGAGAGGGTTTCATACATAGGCCTTTTCTTTTATCAACTACATTGTCATTGCCATATACAGGAGATGTCCAGCAGGGGACAACTGTGCTTAGTTTCTATCCACATTAAAATTTGTAAAACGAAAGAAACATTTATTACCTGTATAATAATGACTTGCTATTCGCTTCACATATTTAATTTGACTAACTTTTTGGTTTTTAGTTCTCAATAGCATGACACTGACAGAGTTCCATGAATACCTCAATCTTTTATCAATATGTTACCATATCCCAGAGATGTGCATTACCATGGAATAACTGTATAGCACCCTTGGCTTTGCACAGATATTGTTATCATTTTTATGTTGTTTAGCACGCATACATAATTCTATAATCTAAAATAGAGTAAGCTCACTGTAGTTCTTTGTAGCAACAGCAAGACCTGGCCATGGCGGTGAGGAGGTTGTTGGTGGTGGTGCATGCCGTGGTGTCAAAGATGCAATGATAGCCTTCTTATATGTTAATGTTCTTTGTGTCTACATCTATTGGCCACATGTACTGAATCCTACATGGCCGACTTCGTCAACCTTCTGTGTGGCCTATATTGACAGCAAAGGTACATGTCCTAGAAAGAAGCCTGTTCATAGGATATATGCATGAATGCTCCTAACAACTAAAGGTCATGAGATTGTTTTTCAGATTTAGACCTCCATGAAGTTAAATGTATCAGATCCATAATAAAATCCTTAATATATGAAAATATACAAGTGTACATTAAAATAACAAAATACAGAATGAATGTGCTTTAGCAGCATGCCAAACCTTTTTTCTTTCCTTTTTTGCTATTTTTGAAGTATAAGAACTTCTATTATGAATTTGGCGATATCAGTAGGACCGAATTACTGGAATTTATTGATATCCCTTTATCTGTTCATGACCGGCACCATTTTTGGAGTAGCCCCTGTTGTCTACTGCTTCCTCCTTTAACTATTGCCTAGGTTTCTTTCTTCAATTGATCGTGATGTTTTCATTATATGATGGTAATGGCTTCTCTGTCTTACATGCATGCCAAAATGACCACCCTGTACTATGAACCCCATGTAGATATTTTTTTTGGAAAAAACAAAAAATGCAGGTGCAATTGATATTTACTGGTTGTTTTTTATGGCAATTGCCTAATTTGATTGCCATTCTCAGTGTTCTTGGGTGGTATCGTAATGTCACACTATAGTATCGAGTAGCACTAACCCTGTCATTGTTGAAGTGGGAAATGAAGGTGCAACGACCATCGAAGGAGCGGGTGAGGCACATGCTGCTGGGAAGAACAAGAGACACCTGAGAAGCTTCGCGTAAAACGCCAGGAGAAGCCCACTACGAAATACATCTATGTCAACTATCTAACAATTCTTTGTTGACAGCAAGGGCTTGTCTGGAACAAAGGAATGCAAAATAGATGAATTGGAAAAAAACTGAAATAGGATACAATGACTAGTGAAAAACTATAGATTCTAAAACATAGATGTTTGGAATGATTGGAAGAAGGTACAGGAATCTGAGCAAGCATAGCAAGAGTGAGAGCAAATAATATTTCTCTTGGGTTGGAGTGGGGTTTTTATTTTCTATGTTTTGCACTACTACGATTTGTTTTCCTTTGGAATGGAACTCAAATTTGCTTAAATGTATGAGCATGGTTACTCTTCAAGATTTCAGAATTTCATAATAGACTCCATCCCAGTGCGAAATTCAGATATGTGTATGATCTGAAAATACCGTGTCTATGATTACCATGCACAGAAAATACCATGATCTTAAAAGTATGCAGAGTAGATGTGTCCTGCACCATATAAAAAGAACTTAAATCTTTCAGTTTCTGTGCATGACATATCTACATTAAACTCCTTCCCCTAATATTATTTCCATGCAAAAATTGAACATATATTTTCTACCAGCGCCTTAACAAGGTGATTCGCCGATGCACGCGAGGGCTTCCCCTAATATTATTTCCATGCAAAGATTGAACATATATTTTTTACTAATGCCTTAACCAGGTGATTCGCCGATGTGCGCGATGACGCGCGTGATGGACTAGTGATTGATCATTGATCAATCTTTTGGCTTTGGGGGCGCTCCCTCCGTTGGCTCGACTGTACTGTGTCCTAGTTGTTGCCGGCGATGCAGTGGTCACGCCTCCTGGAGTTATTGGGATGTAGGGTGGTCCTGGTTGCCGCGGCTTCCGGTAAATTGACTGCCTTCGTTACAACGGTACCCTTTTCTTTACCAGAGCAATAACATCTGTTTTGTACTCCTAGTACGCAGTGTATACTCCCTTATCTCCCTTCTAAAAAGGTCAATTTAGATTTATTGTAAGTTAAACTTCTCTAACTTTGACAAATCTAGTTTTTTTTTGTTGTCGACGATGTATTTTTGTATAAACTTCAATTATACTTGTTTGATTTTAAACAAATCAAAATGACATGGAGTAGTTTAGAAAATAAAGTATGAATAAGCGATATCAGTTACTAATATTCTTTTGTAGCTGGTGCCATGACATTGCCCATCCTCTAAATGAAAGGAAATTTCTTTTTATCCTTTTTGCACCTACCCATTTTAAGAAAATATTCATGAAACATTAGCATGCGTGGCAACCGTCCATTTCTTAAGATCAATGTGGCCTCACAATAGCAAAATGTACACAACACATATTTTAGAGCATCTTCAACAGATTACTTATCCCATATCTTCTAAAAGATTATATAAACTAGCGTGAGCCCCCACGCTGCGCGTGGGAAGGAGGGCGGGATGAACAGTAAACCGCCTCAAATTTAAAGTTCTTATATAGATGATCTCCTATCATTAGTAACGTAGCCTTTTCTTCATCTCTCCCAACAGGTGGACAGAAAAAGAGATGAATCTTTAATCTTTACTTAGGATGAGTAATCAGTTAGAGCAACTACAATCTTTTATATGGCATATTTTTAGAATTGCAGTGGATATAAATAACCTGTTGGAGATGCTTTTAAATCATTGGAGGCTGAAGCTCATGCCCTCCTTTTTATGCAAAGCTAGCTACAACTCTCAATCCGAAGGACGCAATTCTGTTGATTGACAACCAAGTGCTAGCCCGCGCTTGCTGGATCACCACGTACTCATCTGGGACATTGGTCGATACGTCCAATCATTGCTAAAATACAGGACATTATCCGGCTACACTATACACAAGATCCGTAGAGAGACAAATAAGATAGTTGATAGCCTTGCTAAAAGGCAAAGCGAGCAAGCATCTTGAATTCAGGTCTTTTTTGTTGCCAGGCATTTGCGCATCATCCAACTTGTAATATTAAGCTTGTGCTACAAAACAACGACTGGGATGACAAGATCCTCATCTCTGTAACACGTTGATGCAATGGAAGTTTTACTTAAGCCTTTTGTTTATGTTTAGACGTCTCTAGTGAAACTAAGCATGACATGTTCGTAGTATATATTTCTTTTATGTAGGAAAAATGGTAGCCTGGTGCTGGCGCTGCTGCTAGCCTACTACAGTGCTAATAAACTCGTTCGGAAAGTCTTTCTTTTTTTTCAGTTTTATTACCTGAAGCAAGCCGGCCACTCACGCACGCACAGGCACGGAGGGCAGCGAACCAGTGACCAGGTGGCCGAACGCCGCTGCCGCCCGACGGGATGAGTCGCTGTCGTGTCTCCGCGTGCTGCGGCCAGGCGGCCAGCTGCCGAGTTGCCCCCTTCAATTTGCTTCACCCTCCGCCACTGACCCCAAACGTTCACACGCACAAACGCGGGAGCCGCCGCGATGCCGGCGAAGCCGCCACCCGCCGCCGAGTTCGAGTACTGCGAGCTGTGCCGCCATCACCACGACCATGGCCGGCGCCATCGCTACGTCACCAAGCACCGGAGAAATCTCGACGCCGCGCTCACCTCCTTCCGCTCCAAGCTCTCCGACCTCCGCCGCGCCTTCCTCCACGGCTCCCCATCTTCCCAGCCGCCGCGGGCCCATCTCTGGTGCCCCTTCTGCTCCATCGACCTCGACAGCCGCTCCGCTGGGTACTCGCCACCTATCCCTTGTCCCCGTACTCCTAGGGTTTCGGTCTGGATTTACATATGCTAGCTGGTTTCGATTGCAGCGTGGATTGTCCGGTATATTATGCAATTGAACACCAGTAGGCTGAACCCTAGTACATTAGGATCTGCTCAGTACGGCAGGGGTTGGAATCGTCATAAGGTTTTCAAAGCACTGTAGATAAAGGTTTTCGGAGCACTGCAAGCATAGTGAGTTTAGGAGGAAAAGTTAAGTCTGGTTCTCTTGTATTGCAGTAAAAATGCCATTTACCATCTGGCAAGCAGTGAGCACCTGAAGGGTGTGAAGGATTTCCTGTGGAAGCACGGGGGAGGGATGGATCAGGTGGACTCGCTTAGGATTTCAGAGGACGTGCTTGCCAAGGTGTGTCTTATGCTTTCATTTTTCTCTCTCTGTTAATAGGAATTAACATGATATACATTTTTATCATTCTAGTTTTGTGAAAGGATCTACTTATGTGTATGTTGTTTGTATTTGTTTCTGCACTGACCTGACAAAATGAGATGTTATGGTACGTGGCATGTGGATCTCTAATGTTTTTATTTTTAAATTTCAGTGGGAGAAAGGCTCGGAATCCTTGAGCACAGGAACGAAAAAGGGGACTGAAGGGCTGATTGGACCATGTCTGAAGCAGATAAAAGATATCCAAAATGAATATACCTGTGACAGTTTGGATAGTTTTGCACAAAACAATATCCCATCTTTTAGTAATACTGCATCATATGTTGTTATGCCTTTACAAAGTCCTACCAATGGGGCATATGACCCTATTAGTACAGCGTGTCATGGAGCTTCCAGTTCTGGAAGTGCTCCTTATTCTGCTCCATATGGAACTGTTGGACTGCCCATCACACCTTGGGGATCGGCCGAAACACATAGGCAGCAGGGTGCGCTGTCTACAAACTTGTTTCACAGCAGTGGTCCTGAAACAAAAGGTGACCAAGCGTTACAATTATCATACTGCCTTCTTTTTCATATGATTATGTCACTTGCTTGGTACATGGATAATTATATTTCATTTTGTAGGTCATCAATCTACTGTCCTTGTAAATGATGCAAGGCCATCGATTTCTTGTTCTAATCATGTAAGTATGTACCATAGTCCACATGCACACATGTCCGTGCGACAAGTAGCACAAAATCCAGTGAAAAAATGACAAAAATTGATGTGATGCTTCTACATTACTGCAGTTTTTTGCTCACATATTTGACTTAATATTAACAATTGAAAATGTTGCTTTCATTTACACAAAAAAAGGTAGCTTAGTAAATGTTGTGCAAGGCAGGAGCTTGCACCATTAAGGTTTCTCGGATCTCAATTTCAGAAAGTTAAACAAATTTCCTTTTGAGTATATTATCCTTCTTGCTCTGTTTCCTGTTTATGTTCTTCTTTAGGTCAGTTGGGGCATGTTTGAACCTTCGCCGCAGCTCGCCTGGTCTCGCCTCACCTAGCCCTCGCACAATGCCAATCTTCCAAGTTCCAAGGCATTTGCTTCCCTTGCTGCCATTCACCTTGTCTCGCACTGTAGCTCAATATGAGGATTGTCAGGCGGCAGCGGAGGTTGATTTGACACCAGGGATTCTCGAACGTGTGGTGGGGGAGGCCGATTGAGCGGTTAGCGAGGCTGATTTGGTGGCAGGGGAGGCAGGGGCGACGCCAGGTGGTGCACTGGCACCAGGAAAAAAATTTACTACTAAGTAGTCTATTTTTACCGTACAAATTAGTTGAAATTGGATATATTTCTACATGGTGGCTATGAATATTGTGCACCACCATGAATTTTAAGCTAGCTTCGCCCTGAGGGGAGGCTTATTCGCAGCAGGGGAGGCTGATTCATCGAAAGCGCACGAGCCAACCTTGCCCAGCCGGGCAAGCTTGCCAGGCAAACGGGTGAGGCGAGGGACTACCAAACGGCTTGCCTTGCCCTGCGAGTCGAGGCAGCAAGGGTTCCAAACAGGTCCTTAGTTGCTGTTGTGGAGTTGTGGTGTAGTCTTTTTTTTTGTTCACATAATCACATAAAAGTATTGGAGAACAGCACACAAACACGTTTAAATTTCTGTGTGGACTTGTTGCCTTTATTTATTTTTGTTCCACTGCTTGCCATATCTGAAAACATCTATTTTCCTTCCTAAATCCCAAGTAACAGATTACCATCTCAGTTGACTCATGAATTAGCTATGTCATCCGTAGTTGTTCCATTATATCCATGGTCTATGAATTTGACCATTGTAAACGCTGTCATTATATTTGCAAAAAATTCATGGCATTGTGGTTTTGTAGTTTCAAACGAAATGATAAAAATGTACTTCTATGAAGCAAGTGTTTTCTTTTGTTAGTTTGTAAAGCTCTTATATCCTAAAAGAAACAAATTTACATGTGCAACTTTTGATACAGAATTCCATATGCCTAATGTTCTATTTTTTTCCTTTTGTTTACTTGTCCTGTATACATAATTGATGTGATTGCTTGTTAAACAGATGTTACCTTTGCAGGTTCAACAAAGTCACACTGGAGGAAATTTGAGCAATGGTATTGGATGCATTCAGTTTTATATTTTCCTGCTTTAGATTTTTTTTTCTCGAACACGCAGGAGAGCTGCGTGTCATTTCATTAATAGGTAGAAAACGGTCTGATTACATGCTGAATCCATGGCTTGGTTTTCGTGCTCTAGATTTTGCCAAAACAATCACTAGTCTGATTGCAAAATAGCTAATCGTGATTTCTTTTTGCCCTTGTGAGAATCTTGATGCAATATCATTTCTTTATAGGCTCAAAAGCAAATGTGCATACGGGTGCTCCTCCTCCTTGGTTAAAAGCTAATGAACATGATCCAAAGAATTTGCCACTCAGAAGCTGTGGTCTTCCTTCTCGGAAAGGAAAATCGAGGAAACTCAATCCAAAGAGGGTTGGTGCTGCATGGGCAGAAAGAAGAAGAGCTGAGATGGAATTGGAGAAGCAAGGTGAAATTGTTCCAGCAACATCTGATTCTAGTTGGCTACCTAATTTTGGTAGTGTCTGGCAATCTGGCACAAGGAAGGAATCAAGGAAAGACTTTGAGAAAAGCCACAAGCTTCACGACACGAAGAGCAATCATGACTTATCCTTGGAGATAAAACCATATATCAGCAAACGGATGGTAAATATGATTTTTCACCTTTCTGTAGTTATGTCATCTTGTTCTTTTCTATATTTAACTTAATCACATCAACCTTGTGTTTCTTGCTAGCTGTTGGCAAATAGTTTCTAAGTCATTGTCATTTTCAGAGGTTACAACATTCACTGTTTGATGCCATACCACCCAATGTTTTCTGATCATCCGATTAATCGCTTAATCTAAGTCATTGTCATTTTCAGAGGTTACAAGATTCACTGTTTGATGCCGTACCACACTACCACCTATTGTGTATGCATTACCTCAGTTGTCCTGCTTATAGCTGGAAACAGATTGGTATTAAGCTACAACTTTAAAAATAACCCAAGCCGCTTTAGCTGCTTTACTAATTATTGTATTTGTCCTGCTTTCTGATGCAAGGAACATAAAAGTTATAAGGAATTTCCTTATTGGCCTCGTGTTTGTTCAGTAAAAGAAGAGTTTGGATTGCCAAATATTTTAATCAAGTGCTACACTACAAAATATTTATTTAGAATTGCAATCCACCTTGTTCTGTTATAGATCAATTTGAAAAGAGGTCCGATCCTGTGGGCATAAGCTAGTGCCTAGTAGGCTGTGGAGTGCATGTGCCTAGTAGGCTGTGGAGTGCATATGCAGCAACACATAGCTGTTTCAATACTGAGTTAATGAGGAAACCACTACCTATGAAATCAAGACAAGATGGGCCTTTCTAAAAAATTGCTCTCTGTTTGTGTGTGTGTGTTTTTAATTGGGGCCATAGGATTGCCAGCTTTCACGATGCGCTTGCCATAGTTTTTATGTTTATTTAGTTACTGCATTCTTGAATTCTGATTGTTCATATATACTTTGCCTTTCCTCTTGCAGCGTGTAGGTGCTGATAAAGCTTCTGACAAAGCTGAAGAGCTTGGCAGCCACCTACAACAGTAAACAGGTGTACAGCCCTTTGCCATATACAGTAGATGTTTATGGTGTCATTGGTATGGATCTTTTTAAACTCGCCCACTCGGTAAAAGAAAGGTTTAGCGCCCACGTGTATGGCTTGGAAATTAAGCGCACTGCTTCAGAGATCTACTCTGAAGCCAGTAGCAGGCGAACCCTTGCTGTCTTTGCTTTCCATCAATAGAGAGGCTACAGCAACTTCAGCAATGAATATGATATTTGGGGTGACAGGGGACACTGCTAGTACCATGCAGGACTCCTGGAATGATTGCGCCCCTTGGATCTGTTTATTTGTTGAAACGCCATGCAGGGCAGCTGTTCCTAACTTTCTGCTCACTGTTTGGCGCCTGCAGATGGATGTCGCTTAGGCGTCTCTGCGGAATAGCCCCCACGGCGCGGCTTGATTGGCGATTGGTACCACTGTCAGCTCGTGTCTGGGAAGCACGTTTATAAGGCTGCGAGTACGGAATGCCAAGCCAACCTTTGACAGCTACTCGTAGTACGCAGTCAGTAGTTTTTGTTCTCGGCACGAAGCCGTTTGATGTTCGTACTGAGAAGTTTGTGCCGGGTACCGGTTGCGGTTTGGTGCGTCGCGTCCAACAATGTCGCTGATGGACCGTTCCTGCGTTGATTCTCGTGCATCAACTTGTGTAGTAGTAGTTCTGTGTTCTGAACAGAGCAACCACACGTGGCTTGCTTCATTGGCAGGACGAGAAGTTTCGGCCTATTTGGCCCTGTTTTATTTAGGACAACTTATTTCAACCACGCTTTGAAACAAAGCTGGTTTCTTCCATAACTGGCTTCCACTACGACCTCAGGGAAAGTTTACTGTTTGGCACCCTGATTCTAGGGTGAAGAATGTAAGGATTGGTCAGCTATTTGGGTAACAACAAGGTATAGGCTCGGCTAAAATTTAGCCTAACCTATTAGCCCCCTGTCTAGATAGATAGACGTTTTAGCTGACTAACAATTAGTCTTGGGAGCATTGGTAAATGCCGACATATACCCAGTTTGTTTCCCCTTAACAGACCCACAAGTGGACACGGTTTGGTGGAGGTGATTTGTTGGGTTTCGGTTTCCCTGGTTTCGCTTGCTAACGTTCCGGAATGGATGACGCCTGGCAGCGGGCTTTTTACCAAGAGCCACACAATCGCCCTGTTCGTTTGGCTCAGCTTTTCCTCTAGTAGTTACTAAATTTAGTAGTTTTTAGTTATTTTAGTAATTTTTTGTCAAACACTATGACTAAATGGGACTAAAAGGGTTTTAGTCCTCTCTAGTAACTCTGGAGTTACTAAAAGTGACTAAACCATTTAGTAGCTACTAAAGTTTAGTAGCTCGAACCAAATACCCCTTATAAGCCGTATTTTTTCAGTCAATGAATAATATTTTTCTCTTACAATAAATCAGTTAACAGTACTTTCAGTCATAACTTATCAGCCAAGCAAAGATGATAAATATAAAATGCTCTTCTAACTAGTAAGCGAACGAGAGAAGCAGCTCTGCAAGCTACTATGCAGATTCGAGACGGGAAGCCTTGCCGGGAGGGGTTAACGTCATTGCGGCGAATGGTTTCGCTTTCGGCCTTTGCACTTGTGCATGACGTCATGCACCCGAAGTGTGACGATTGGTGGTGGTAGAAAAAATGTTACAGCGTTCACAGGGCACCTCAAACTCAAAGGGGCAGACAGACTCGGCTGTCGGCACGGCTGGGGTAAAAATGGCTGGCCGCCCCTTGTCTTGTTGCGTGTGTTATTGCTTTGCCAGAAGCACGCACAGGCGCAGCGTGTCAGCGTGCAAACCCTGGTGCATGCATGCATGCATACCCAATAGGGCCCGCGCTACAGGTACCAAACGTTTTTTTCCCTGGAACGAAGGAAAGGACAGAAAAGAAAAGGTGAGATCCATCGAGCTCACGTTTATCTTATAATCTATCTTTTTAATTTATTTTTTTAACCAAAATAATATTTTTTCCTCATAACAAATTATCCACAATCCTGTTTTGACTTATTTTCTCAGCTAAGCCAACGGGCCCAAATTTATCAACCCTGGTCAGGTCTGGTGGAATGGAACTGTCCGGAAGAGAAGAGAAGAGAATTTTGCACGTCGCATCCAAAACGGAATAAAGAAAACAAAACACGCTGTCAGTGTCCTCGAGCTAACGTAGGTTTGACAGAGGCCATTAATCTTGCAGAGATTTCGTTAATAAGACCGCTAGGGTACCACCGGCTCCCGTACTTTTTAAAGACCTCCTTCCTCAGTCAGTCCCAGCACATTTGGAGGAGAGCCCTGCCTGCCCGTCTCTGTCCATTACTCCTACTGATTACTGCGTGGAGCCGTGGATGAAATGAAAGAAATGAAGGCCTTGTTTAGTTTAAAAAGTTTTTCCAGAAAGTGCTACAGTAGTCGTCACGTTAAATCTTTCGATACGTGTATGGAGTATTAAATGTAGACGAAAAAAATTAATTACACAATTTAGTTGGAAATCACCAAACGAACGTTTTAAACCTGATTAGTCTATGATTAAACACTAATTACCAAATAAAAACGAAAATGCTACCGTAACTTGCCAAATTTCAGGCCGAAGGCGTCCACCGCCCGCCCGCCCGCCAGTCTGAAGGGCAGGGCATGACAACCACCAGTTGGTGATCCACACCCACACGGATAACGCAAGACGGCGACGCGGGGCAGGGCGCGTCGCTTTCCGGCGGCCGGGCGAGGCACGCAGATTTCCAAGCGCGCAACGTGCCCCGACAGCGACCGGCCCGAGCCGTCGCGGTCGGCCGCACTGTTTCTGTTTGGGCAAAGACGACGGGCCGAGCCCGAGAGGGAGCCCCGCGCGCGGCCACACACGCGCACACGCGGACACGGGAGGTCGAACTCGAAGCTGCGACCGGATCCGCTCCCTGTAGCGGCCTACCGGGCGCCCACGCGACGGCGACGCCCAGGGTCGCTGCCGAGAGATACATACCCCCTCCTCTCCTCTGGATGTACTCCAACTGTAACGGATAGGTAGTAGCGAGCCGTAGGTAGCGCGCGGCAAAGATGAGGTGATCCGGGTGGCGGCTGGGTGCCAGGCGTTTTCGGCTGCATGCCCCGGCCGGCGGCCTACCAATGCGCCACTGACGTCGTTGGGTGCCGATGGGGGAACGGTTCGATCCTTCGAGGAGGACGACGATGTGGTGGTAGCGTTTCTGAAGCAGGTTATGTTTGCCTTTGTTATTACTGGAGACGGACTGTCGTGTGACGCTAGTCGCTAGACCGCGACGTGATGGAGAAGTAACAACATCACACAAAGAGAGAAGAGAGTCAGAGACGCCGTGGCGTAGCGTGCGTGGAGTGGAACATGAGGCGGCGCGTAATTCTCACGCGCGGGCCGGGGCGTAATACAGGAAGCGGGAGAGGGAGGGAGGGTAGGAAAACATGGCAGTCATGTCAGTCGTGATCCTTCTCCAGTTTAGGAGGGTGCTAGCTTCAAGACTGTCACCGTCGTCGTCGTCGTCCGATTCCGATCCATAGCAATGGCAGGCTAGCAGAGGAAGAGAGAGCAGCAGGCCTGGTTTAGTTGGCGAATTTTTTTGAAAATAATACTGTAGCACTTTCGTTGTTATTCGGTAATTAGTGTCCAATCATAGTCTAATTAGGCTTAAAAGATTCGTATCGTGAATTTCGTCTAAACTGTGTAATTAGTTTTATTTTTTATTTATATTTAATGCTTCATGCATACGTCCAAAGATTCGATGTGACGAAAAATATTGAAAAATTTTGTAAAATTTTAGTAACTAAACAGCCACCAGTTCGTTCGGCTGTGGTGTGGTCCTGAATGCCCTGCCTGCTATGCTCCGGTGCAGTGCAGTGCAGTGCTCCCCTCCGGCCTCCGCCTCCACCACGGCACCACCAATCTTTTGGGCCGGGCACAATAAAGGCCAACAGGAACCGTCTGTCTCCTGCGCAGTGGGAAGCATAGCAATCCAACTGCCCATTCATGACTCGCGATCCCACCCAGGCAGGCCTTGTTTAGATACCATCAAAATTTCTAAGTTTTTTCACTCTCTCTCCGTTACATCAATTTTTGGATATATGCATGGAACATTAAATGTAGATAAAAAAAATAATTAATTACACAGTTTGATTATAAATCACGAGACGAATCTTTTGAGCATAGTCAGATAAAATTTATCAAATACAAACAAAACATACTACAGTATCCGAATTACAAAAATTTACAATCTAAACCCGGCCCCAATCGCCGCACTCCTCCTCTCCCAGTCACTCCACTCCCTCCCATCGCTGCAGGCTGCAGCGCGTGCATGTGCTTCCATGCAGTAGGATCATTCGCGGTCGCTCGGAGTACTGTATCGTGGCAGCTCCTCCTTTCCTTCCTTGCCTATGAGTAGATAGCTGCTAACGCTAACGCCATGCATGTTTTTTTTTTCCTGATTACTGTTACGCGTTACCCTCCATAGGCCTAACCTAGGCCATAGCGCCAGGGAAAACCACCACAGCTCTCAGATTACTGTTACCTACTACAGTAGCAAGCAATAATATCGCGAGGTCGTACACGACAAGTTACAAGGCTTGATACACTTCACGCTGATTACCGCTCTACTGTACTACTCAACAAGGAATTCATACACATGGGCCCGTTCGTTTCGCGGAAAAAACAAGCCAAAACACTGTTATGATTGATTTGTTGGGAGAGAAAAACACTGTTCCAACTAAAAAAATAAGTTAAAAAGTATAGATTATAAGATAAGCAAACAGAGCCACGGTGATACATGTAAGTAAAAAATCTTTTATGTACGCCTTTTGCACGTCATAATGAATATACGAATGATCGGATACACGTGGATTGAGTGCATATATGTGCATGTGCATCAATCAAGCCTCGCCTGTGAGAGTTACAGGAACATATATAGCTCGAAGAACGCATTTGGATGGCTGATATATACCAGAACCTGAGGGAGATCTAGTCTAGTGCTAGCTATATC